TCAACCCCCTGGCTGGACAGAATGGGAGGTCTCCGAGTCCTCCCTTGTCCTGGAAGGTGACCATGATCTGCCCTCCACCTCCAGAGGGAGAAGGGCCTGGCAGTAGGAGTCTATTTCCTGCTCACCATCCTTGATGGCACGCAGTCTCTGGACTGTCGCCTGGAGCTCCTCCAGCTGGTGTGCCAGAGACCCTAAAAGGCAGCAGACCTCACAAGGGGAGGTGGCCATGTTCCTGGACCCCAGAGCCTGAAAAAGTGTCAGGCAACCCCCATAGCTGAAAGCCAGGGGCTCTGTGTGTGTGGAGCCCGGAATCATGGGCTCTGTCTGGGTGGAGGCCTCTGAGATGCCAGAGGGGGAGACTGCAGACTCCAAGGGGACACTTGGAGTGCGGTGCATGCCCATCCACATGGTGCTGCTGGCAGGCCAGCTACGGCTGGGACTGCCTTCCCTAGGGTGTACTGGCAGGCCCTCAGGCCCTCTCACTCATCCTCCTGAGCAAACTCCTGCAACAATTCGCGCGCTGGGCCCAGAAGTGCGCCTGTTTGTGTAGCCGGATTGCGAGGTTCGGGTCATGCAGCTCCCTGGGGGGCTGGGCAAAGTAGGAGCTAGAGCAGGGCGAGGCCCTCCTCAGCTCCACTCAGCTGCCCTGCAGCTGGGCTATGTCCCTCCCACCATGGACTCCGCTTAACACCAGCAGTGCTGGGGGTCAGCGGGATGCTCTGCCATTGCTGGGGGGGCCTCGAGGTGCGGGGGCATGACAGACTTGCACCCGTGCATCTCATGCCACTCCCGGGGCCAAACTGAGGGTTTCTTTCCCGGGTGGCAGGCCCTTTTTCTGGAGTTTTGTCTGCTTTCTTAAAGAAAGTGTCCAAGGAAGTTTGGACAGATGTTCTCCAGGGAGATGAGTGATGCAGTGAACTTGTTCACTGGCATGGCATTGCATCGGATCAAGTGTTGTAAAGTTGAAACTGACATCAGAAAGTTGAAACAGGGTGTCAATTTTTAAATGTTGTGTGAAATGTTGTAATTCGAAACGTTGTAAATTGAAGACTGCCTGTAACTAATTGTTGAGAAGGAGATGGGAAATATCCTGTCCCTGTATTAAACTGAGAATCAGACAAACTCCTGATAACAGTAAATTAGATATATAGCAAGGAGGTTCCCAACTGGCACCCTGGGCCATGGCATTATGAGGCATGCGATGCTTTAGTCAAATAAAACAAAATTACTGGAAATCATAAAGCTGTATTTCTGGCTTTAAAAATATCTCTATAAACAGGGAACTTATTAGGTGATGGCACCTGCCTCTTCTAACCTTCATTAGTTTCAGTTCATTCTGATATATAGAAAAGTAATTTGTCCCAGAGGAAACAAGAATGGCATCTCACCTGGGAAAGTGTTATCCTTACTTTCACTGCAAAGTTAACTTGATTTCTAACTTGAGTTTCCCCCTGGCTAGAGTCCTGCTCACCCACAAAAACCCCTTAATTTGATCTTGCTGGGGCTTTTTACTGAAATTAGAAGACATTCATTGTAACACTCCATTGAACACAACATGTGAGTTTCTGAGTCTGTGGGGTGAATGTAGCCAATATGCTGCTAGAGTACCATTCGACCTTTGATTCCTTCTTACACTTCCTTCCATATGCCAAGGAAGGAAGACAGGCTCTCCCACATTTTACTGGGCAAGAATTCATAGGGGGTGCATCTATGGTGACGTAGCATCCATGGGCAAAAACCATGATGCCATCGCTACATCATCGTAGCAACGTGCTACCTCAGTATAGTACATTGCTACAGCGACAGAGGCTAAAAATAATCATGCGCCACTGACACGGCACAGAACAGGCTGCTACTGTGCTATCATTTAGTACTTCCAAAAGGAAGTTGTAAATGATGGTGCAGTAGACACTCCCAGAGTCTCAGTTTATTGCAGCACTAACAACCTTGGGAGAGGCCCCCAGGACTCTTAATGCCAGTGCATGCGTACAAGTGCCAGCAAGATTAACACAACTGGAATATTACTTCATAGTGTGATGGTTCTCATTCAATTTACGCTAATCTGAGAAACATAATTCATGTGTAGATAACTCAAGTTAACTCTGAAGTGAAGACATGTCCTGTTACAGAGCCATCAGGCATTAATGTTGCCAGTACCATTAAATGTTTCTCTGAGTTAGGCACTATGTGTGGCAGTCCTCTGTTCTCCACAGCTTTATTTTCTGACTTGTGCTTGAGATCTTCACATTCACAAGGATTTTTTCCTTTGAAAGCAGTTGTTTTTTGAGAAGCAAAGGTCCAACTACCAGTTGCACAAGCCTAGCCTGCTCTAGTTACTCACAAGAACTAAGTGTGAAGAAGACATAGGGCATGTCTACATGTGCCTACTTATATGTAGCACATGCACTTGGGATCACAACATGTTGAGCTGAGGCAGAGCAGCCCTGGCTGGCAGAGGGCCCCAGGGGTCAGCCTGCCAGCCTGGGGCTGCTCCCCTTGGTTCAATATGCTGTGGAGGGGCTGGCTGGGGCAGAAGGATGCTTCAGTGTGGGGTTAGCTGGCAGGCGACCCCCACACTGAAGCATCCTTGTACACCTGCCAGCTCCTTCAGCATCTATGTATGCACTGCTGTGGAGTTTTTTTATAAGTACTATTCTGCTGCAGAGTAAATTAGTTTACTCCAGCCTAATAGAGGTACATGTGTAAACACCAAGACATTTACTGTGCAGCTAATTAGTCTACTTAGTAAATGTCTCACGTAGACATACACATACAGTAGAAAGATAAGCACCAACTGGCTCTTGTCTTAGAATGTGGCATTCAGAGTAGAAATACGTTGCCATGCTGGAGGCTCAGATTCAGTTTCAATAAGAGTTGAAGAATTATAGAAATATGTTCATCCCTTAGAGGGGGAAGGCATCTCATTTTGCTCAGCCCATCCCACTCATCATCCAATTAAAGGGTGATTTGAACTTGCTGAATTTACCATATTTATTCACATAGAACCCAGTTTTAGAGGACTGATTTTAGGGGAAATGGTGTATATGCTATGTCTTAAGTTGGGAAACTAATTTTTTGTCATTGAAATAGAAGCACAGAGATGTGATCTAATAGCTGTCAAAATGATTGCCACTTCTCTCTGCCCCAGCAAAGAGACAGGGCAAAGTTCAGTGTTAACCACTGCATAGCCTCTACTGGCTCAGCACTATAGCTTGTGCCTGAAGCAGCAATTTGAACTAGCTCAGGCCAAATGAGCTACTGCATGTAGTCTGTAATATCCTGATAATGTTTGTGGTGTTGAAATAACACTGTTATTTATAGGAATGTTATACATTTACAGCAACAAACAAAACAAAAACAGTCTTGCTACTATCCTTGCAAAAGATTGAGGCCTAGCCTTGTTGCTATCCAGCCACACTAAGAAGATTTTGCTGTTTTACCCAGCCTGCCTCCTGGAATGCCCACACTTCCTAGACACTGAGTTTCCAGGAGGAGTTATTCTATTTCACATGTCAACCATGACTCTGGAAAAATCTATTTTGCTATATTTTGCCTTCCAAATTTAAGGTGTGGGTCTTATTAGTGGTTTTGTATGTGATAAAATATGGTAATTATTTCTGTGAGCACATCAAATGCAGAGCTATTCAACTGAGTTACTCTGACAGCTCTATCAGATGCAACTCATTAGATCCACTTCAGAAGCTAGGACTGCATAGTCTCCTGCGGCAAGAGACTGTTGAGAGAAGGTATAATATCCAGGCTCAGTGGTTAAAAGGATGGTGGCTGGCACAGGAGGCCTTATAGATAAGGTGCCGATTTTAATAGGCACAAATGGGTAAGTCCTCACTATACAGAGAGATGGGAGGATGCCCACCCTAAATAAACATATAACAAAATCCCTGCTCCACTCCTTTTTGTTCTGAAAGCTTCTAAGTCCATTTGTTACCATGGCAGCTAGATTCTCCAGTAGTGCCAATGTATTCCAGTTGGTTACCAAAAATAGTTATATAATAAAAAACTCATTGTTATTGGGTCTCTACAGACTCTAAGGGGACTCACAGAGCAATGTCAGACAAGTAATTTATATGCAAGAACACTGCATGTAAACATCTAAGGATGAGTCACTACAAAAAGTAGCATGGTATGGGCCACATTATGTGGAAACCACCAAACCCATGAAACTCAGTGGAAGTCCAGGCAGACAAGTGCCAAGGAAATGAGGCTGTCAGACTACTTGATTCTGACCGTGATTTAAACTGATGTGTAAAACTGACTTTGCTGATGCTGGATATGAGCACACTCACAACTGTTGTTATAGATATGCTAATATCATGCAGAGTACTGTTGCCCAAAGAAATATATTTGTCTACAACAAGGGGACTGTTACTAGCTAGTTAAGGGAATGGGACAGAGAATATTTCATCTCTAAGGACACTGCACCAATGGAGGATGAATACTGTGCCCACCTGACCGCTGTTACAGTGCCCAGTGTGAGATAAGGTGTTGGTTACAGTCTATCTATAGTTGTTTATAAAGTGTGTGTTACAGTGGCACTGTAGCATCTGAATGCAAAATTAAGTGAAATAGCTGCTTGGGAGCAGGCAATTCAAGGCTTGCCCTATCCTGCCCTGCCTTGCCCTGCAGTAATCCAGGCCCTAAGTTCCCATACAATTGCATCCCGGTAATTAAAAATGGTGGCAGCTTCCATGATAAAAGTGGTCCCTCCAGGGCAATTTTGAGAGACAGCTTGTGCATGGATTGCATATGTTCTTGAGATAAAGACAACTCCAGGCTATCCATCAACAAGGTATATTCCACAAATTAGCTAGACACATTTTCCATTTGCAAGAGGCAGCAAAAAAAGCCAAATTTTTAAATTTTGACACCGAGAGTGATCTCAGCTGTTAATCCTGTCAATGTCCAATATGGCTCATCAGCTGTGTAAAGCCACATTTTTGGGATGGCTGTTACTACTAGCAAAACAGAATCCAGTATCTTACCCAGAGTAATTTCATACTCATTCTTTATCACAGACAGCAAAGGTTTGTAGGTTTTGAAGGCTTCTATGAAGAACTCAAAGATCTCTCTGTAAGGCTAACAGAAGAAAAAGAGAGAGGGAATACAATCAAGGAAGTTAATTTTCTTTATCTAGAATTCAGGGCTGGCTGTCCAGGCCTGTACAAGTGCTGTCTTAATGAATGTTTGGATTGTCATGTAGTTGCCTATATACTTAAAATTCAGTAAAATAGGTACTATTTTCTCATATGCATATTAGATCCCAAAGTATCTTAACAAAAATAACTGTAAAGATTCATCACTGATATGCAATCATACCCCTCTGCTTCCCACCTTGGATGGAGTGTGATAGGAAGGCATGGGACCAAGGGCAACACACAGTCTTGGCAGCTAAATTATTTGCAGAATAATGGCTAACCTTTTCCCCAAAGCTGTGATCAAGCAGGTTTGAATCTTACATTTAAAGATAACTACAGAATGTTTATTTTCAGTATCTCTAAGCAAAAGTCCCAAATGCAAATAGTTTTAATATCCATGGAAGTCCTGGAATCAGAATTTCCTAGTGACACAAAATTCCAGAAGAAATGCTAAACCAGACCTTGCTGTAATCTAACATTATCTATAGCTTTTACTTTGTTTAACATATACATTTACTAGCTAATGTAAACCAAAGCAGCCTACAGCAATGATAAGCAACTGTAAAAGGAACATATGTCTACAGGTGTATTTGTTCATTTCACTGTAACTAAAAACTGTTTATAGACAATGCCCCTGAGATTCACTACAGATCCCTAGGTGTGCCTCCAGATTAAATATTTGTGAATGAAGGACTGCACTGTTGCTTCCCCTCTTGGTGTGTTTTTCTATTTAGAGCGGTGGTGGCCAACCGGCAGAACACATGCTGTAAGTGGCACAGGCAGCCAGAGTGAGTCCCTATGTGACAAAAGGAGCCTACTAGTAGCCAGTCACCATACCGGCTGCTCCTCTGTCTAAGGCAGTCTGCCCTGTTTTGTCTGCCATGACTTGTTGGGATAAACCTGATGTAATAAGCGGGAGGCTGCCCCTTTAATGCCCCGATACCAAGGGGTTTATACATGGCTCCAACCTTCCCTTACCATGTCCCATGCCTTGCAGATGGCATCCATATTGCACAGTGCCTCACACCGACCCATGCTGTAGGGTGTTACTTGGGACTCTCATTCTCCCCTGGAGCTCACCATCACTATTCCGCCACACTGTGTATTAAGTTACTCACTATAACTCCCCTGGCCCCTTACTGGCTGCCATCAACTTTTGGCTCTGCTTGTCCCAGGTAGCCTTAGACATGCACTGCATGCCCTCTCACTGAGGCTCAGCTCTGCCTCTGGCCTACCTTCTTCTCCACCCCCTCATTGGGGCAACAATTTACTTTCCTCACTGGAGTCCACTCACTCGACCACTTTAGTGCAGCCCTTCAGGTTGCCCCTTGCCACCCTACTCTGCACCCAGCACCATGGAACCTCCAGGCCTCCCTCGCAGCCCTACTCTGTGCAGCCCATTCTCTTCCTCTGCCCCCTCACTGAGGCCAACACTCTGTCCCGATGCTGGGGCCTTGGGGTCTTACACCCCTGGGCTCAGGTGCCTCTTCCTAGGCATGCCTGGTCCCACTGCTTTCAGGGTCTTACACCCCATGGGCTCAGGTGCCTCTCTCTATATATGCATGGCTCCACTGCCTGTTCTTCTTGCCATAAGCTGTCGGGGCTGGGGTTATAGGCGCCCCTACCCACCTTTCACGGGGGAGGCAACTGGCCTGGCATTTCTAGGGAACTACCCCATCATGGGCAGTCCCACCAGGCCATCCTTCCCCAGCAGGGTGCAGTTTTTGGTTACACACAGGACCAGGAGCCTCCTACCATCCCCATAGCTCCTGCTCTTACCTGCAAGATATTCCTGAGCAGCTGCTCAGCCGGGTAGTGTCTTTCCGGCTGCCAGCAGCAGACTAATCCCTCAGCCCTGAGGGCCTGCATCTAAAATGGAGGCTGCTCAGCCCCCTCCTCCAATCCCAGGGCCTTCCTGCAGTTATGCGACCGCCTTATTACCCTGACATGCACCTGCCGGCTGCCCTGATGTCTGCTCTGGCCCTTAAAGTGCCAGACACCAAAGATGCTCTGTCATGAATGACTGGTGCCTCCTGAGACTGGGGGGGCACCATGGCAGTGAGCAGGGACTGCCTGCAGACATCGCATTGGTGTTGGCGGCAGGGATGGGGGTGGTGAACGGCAAGCAGGGACCACCCACAGATGCCGCTAACCATGGCAAGGGTGGAGGGGGTGCGAGTAGTGACCAACTGCACAAGCCGGTAGTGGCTTATCTCGGGGCGGGGTGGGGGGGCACATGCCCCCTGTGCTCCCACTATGTGTTGCCTATGTGCTTTGTCACACCGCAGTACTGAGTTAAAGGGGGTGCTGATGACAGGAATCATGGCAGCACTCAGAGAGGGGCAGGGGATCAAAGCAGCAGTAGAGGAACGGTAGGTGTCACAGGTTGGTGGTAGCTCAATGGTTTGCCCGCCTGAGGGTGTCCCAGTGGTGACAGAATTTGGTGGCACCAAATGATTTAAACAATACATTTTGGCCAGCACTGATTTAAACAATAAATTCCATAAGGCAGGTCCTGTCTCTCACTCCGTATATGTACAATAACCAGCTCAGTAGGATCAGACTTGGCTGGCAACAGCTTTATAGTCTTACTGGTTGCAGGATGCATCTCTGTAGTGACAGTTGGTAAGTGTTTAATTTAAGACAGATGGGGACATCTTCATGAGTGAATATATTCATGAAATCTCTCTCTTTTGTCCATTTTCTTCCCTGACCATTCCACCATAACCATTTTCCTTTATCATCACCATTCACCTGTTCTGTTTTGCACAAAGGAGCTCAAGATTCATTGGTGGAGAAAGAAGAAGGGAACATGACTGCAGCCTAATGGTTAGGGCAATCACCTGGGAGGGAAGACATGAGTCCTTGTCCATGCTCCAAGGACTGTGGCTATGCTTCATCAAATGAGTGTTTAATATAACATACAAAAATATCTTTGAATTAGGGACCACAATTTATGTCGCCTTCTCCCAGGTAAATACTTTAACTACAGAGTCATGCTCATTATCTTCCTGCTCTTAGTCACAATGAATCTTTAATTTTTTTATGCAACGTGAAGGGTGGAAATGCATTCATAAAATATCCTATGGTGATGGCACTTTCTAGGAGGCCGGCAGTATTGATTTGAAAACCATAGTATGAAGACAGATACCTGAACCTAGATCCCTCGCATCCTGGCCAAGCATTCTAACCACAAGACATTGTATAAAATTAGGGGGCCACCACCTCCTTCATCAGTACATTTCAATGAAAGTGGTGGCTACTATCTTGAACTCCTTTGTGTAGAACAGAACAGGTGTATGGTGATGATAAGGCAAAATGGCTGCAGTGGGATGGTTGTGGAAGAAAATGGACAAAAGAAGAGAGAGATTTCATATATATATATTCACTCATGAAGATGTACCCATCTGTCTTAAATGAAACACTTACCAGGACTGGGCTTCTCAGGGCAGACAGGCATTGAGACTATGGGAAGAATGCCTAGTTTGAGGAGTTTCTCTATCTGGATAAGAGCAAGGTGCCCCCAGGCATGAACAAAGCAGACATCTAAGCACCCAGATAATTTTACCAGTGAGATTTCAGATGCATATGGATTTAGGTGTCTGCAAGGTTATTAAGTGTTTTGAGGCTCACAGTCTTGGACATAAGTACCTAAATTCCACCTAAATCTAAGGGCACCTATACATGAGTGTGGAGGCTGCTCCGACACACTGGAATTCTAGTGCGTCGGAGCAAACTCGATTAATTAAGTCTGCTGGAGCATGGCAATTCCTGTGCTCCAGCAGCCTCCTGTGTCTTGTGTATCAGTGTCCCTGCAGTTAAAAATGGTGGTGGGGGCAACTGAACTAAAGCTTGTTGAATGAGTTCAAGCAACCCTGCAGCCGTTAGGCATGGGGACACTGATACATGAGACTCAGCGGCGCTTTAATTAAAGTGGCTGTCGAAACTGTTCTAATTAAAGCACCCCACCTCCGACCCCTGGAGCACATGTAAAAGTGCCCTAAGTGCCTAAGTCCTTTTGTAGATCTTTACCCTGGGGCTTTGAAATGTGAAGGGTTAAATGAGATGGTAAGTGAAGGTTTATATGAGATATACAAGCAGATACACTGATTTCTATGCAGTCCTTCCTTCAAACTACCATGCAAAGTTTGTTCTCTTCCAATAAGGGCCAAAGATGTCTTCTTTTTCCATGCACTTTTCCTTTAGGAACCTAAAAGTGTCCAGATAAAAAAAAAAAATCCATCTTGTTCTATATTGTTGTTTCGAGTCCCCAGTACCCCCTTTCAAGCAGCTCACTATCAGACCTGAAGCTTCAGCTCCTGGGCATTATCTTTGGTGAGGTCCAGAGCCCGCACTTCTTCTCTTAAATAGGATTCCATTTGCTCCAGGTATCGTGGTTTTGCAATTGTCAGGGAAGCCTGTTCACTGCTGCAGAAAGACAGAAAATGACAACCAAAATTCCAATACATCTATGAATTTACAACCAATGAGCTTTAGTATCTGGGTTCTTTTCCCATCCCTTACCACTGCTTTACAGTGGATTGTTTTACCACAGTTGTACAGCTCTCCAAAAAGCAAGAGAAAAATCTCGATGTCCCAACTTTCTCAAAGAAAGAGTGAGTAGATTAGAATGCTATCTAAATACCCTTCATCTAACAGCTCAGATTCAGTAAAGCTGTACTTGATGTGAAGGTAGCATTACCGAAGGGGTCAGGTAGTTCCCTAGTAAATATATGTGATAACAAATATTGGGGTAAAACTGTATTTTTGTCTGGTAGGAGTACAGCACATATTGAAGGAGGGGGTAGGTTTTTTTCCATGAGATTTTCTGTATTCCCACCTATGCCAAAAACTGTGGTAGGCATTTTAGCCCTCATTAAGGTAGGAGAAAAAAATATTGCTGAATTAATTAAGATTCATGTGTGTTTTCTCTCTCTCTGTATGAATACAGCTTCACACAAATCCACTTCCCATTACTAATCTTGTGAACAATCCAAACCTCCAATATCCCACCTGCCTGACCAGGTTGCTTCTTTCAGGAAAGGGATTTAAAAACTCTAAACCGCTAACAACACAGCTCTCAGCTGCAATCTGCTTTATCCAGTCACTTATCAAATTAATTCTAGGAACTGTAGTCAATTCTCTCCTGTACAGACATAGTGCAACCAGATGCCTGGGGCAGCTGCAATACATGGGGGGCAGCTGTGGCATCTGGCTGCTGCCAGCACACCTGTGTTGCTACAGTGGCAGCTGAGCTGTTTCTTTCTGCCCTCTTTTCCCAAAGTCAGTGTCCATGCTCCTTCCTACCATAGGAAAATGGGAGCTGGGACTGTGAAGTTCTACATGGAGAAAGGATTACTTCAGACCCAGATACTAATATTTTTTCAGCCCTCCTACAGCATGGGGAATCCTTTTGATATAAAAAGCAAGACCAGCAGTTCTGTGCATGAGGATATGGTAAATGCTAAACAATTGGTTTGAAGTGACTCAGGAAAAAATACCAATTATTTGAAAAGGACTTCTTCAGCACTGCATACCCTCTGGAGGTCCAGGGAAGTATTCCTTTCCTTGTCCCCTCAAGCACACTGCATATACTGTGCTAATTAAAACAGTTGCGGTTAAAAACCTTCAAGCCTTTTTAGTAAAGTATCATCAGCAATTCTTGGTGGCTTGTTGGCCTCATATAATGTGCATTGGGGAATCAATATAGAATTACACTGTCAACTGCAGAACCAATCTGAGGTATTTCCTTACAAGAGGAACAATGAATATTAAATACACCCTTGATACTTCCTGCAGTTGCTGCTCAGGATTGGCTATGCTTCATTTTTTATCTTGAGGGATGCTACCCCTATCTGAGGCTAGAATTCCCACTGGTGCAATTTAACCAGCAATCACAGTGGTGGGGAATTTGTTTTGGAGGTGCTGAGCACAGGGGCTGGCACCCCTCAGGAAAAGGGCTGTCACCTGAAATGTGTAAAACTTTCCATGAGTCCATCATCTTCCATGTGTCCCCCCATAAAAAGTCAGCACCTATGACTTGTTCTGTGATTCCCTGGTGTAAGTAAAACCTCTTTCTGCTGTCCTGGTACTTCCAAGCATATTTCCCAGACCCAAAGTTGTATTTTCTCTTTCATGCTGTAACTCTTCCTGCCTAAAGCTTTGTTCTTACTCGTACCTTCTCTTCTCAGGATCACAACAGGGTTGACTGTTCTGTAGGACTGCTTGCCCAGATGCATAGGCAGGCCATGTGGATAAATGACTACCAGCAGAAAACTGAAAGGGCTGAAAAGAAAGCAGAATTCACTTGTGAATCCCTGTGCACAGGGTTTCTAAAAAAAGGGGATGAAATAATAATCATTATCTTAATTATTAATTATATTGCAGTGTTTGGAGTGATGCTGTGACTGTGATGCTCCAGGAATTATGTGAGAGGCAAAATTTTTGGGGTGATATCTTTTATGGGACTAACTGTATGGTTAGGATAACATTAGACAAGCTTTTGAATGAAAATTATTCTTCCTCAGGTTTGAGGAGAAAAGCAAGTAAACGTGCCATAGAGTGCACACAACTGGAGTGGAGCCTTATGAAGGGCACAGAAGGGCAAACATAGCTACATAGGTTGAAATTAAATCTGAAATCAGAGCAGTCTTTAAACAAAAAAGTGGAAGAAAGCCAGTGGGTGCAAAAGAGCATGCAGACTGGGTTAACAGAAACCCAAAGGGGGACATCCTTCAGATTCAATACTGCTTTGAAGAGAATAGTTGGGGAGTTAGAAGTATAACTGTAGATAACAGTGAGGACAAGCCAGAACATCTAGAGTTCCAGACAAATAGCATGAGCAGTAACAGATTGCTAAGCAAGGACAACATTTATAACTCTCTCTTTACAAATGCAAAATGCCTAAAAAATAAGATGGGTGAACTAGATTGCCTGGTATTAAATGGTGACTTCAACAAAATAGGCATCTCAAAGTCTTGGTGGAAAGACGATAATCAATGGGATACTGTTCTAGCAGGTTAAAAACCATGTAGAAATGACAGAGTAGGATGTGCAGGTGAAAGAGCAGCATTGAGTGTTAAGGATAGTATAGATAGTAACATCATAAAAATCTTACCTGAAAGGGAAACTACCATAGTATCCCTGTGGGTAGAAATTCCATACTTGAATAAAATATATATAGTATCTGGATTGTACTACCGACCACCGAATCAGGAAGGTGAAGAGGATTATGAAATGCTCAGGGAGTTTAGAGAAGCTGCTAAAATAGGACAGGTAATAATAATGGGAGACTTCAACTATCCACATATAGACCAGGTAAAAACCTCATGAGGGTGAGATGTGAAAATAAAAGTTCTGTATGTGATAAATGGCTGCTTTCTAGAATAACTCATCTTGGAACCCACAAGAGGAGGAGCAGTCCTAGACCTAACCCTGGGTAACACACAGAAGCTGGTTCAAGAGGTACCTGTTGGTGAGTCACTCTGTAATAGCAACCATAACATAATCCCATTCAATATTTGAACAGAAGGGAGTAAGCTAGAAAAGTCCGTTAGAGCAATATACAACTTTAGGAAATTAAACAAGAATGAGGAAGTTAGAAAGATGTTTAAAGGAGCAGTCAAAAAATGTTAAAAGCCTGCAGGCAGCTTGAAAGCTGTTTAAAAATACCATATTAGAGGCTCAGGAAAAGTGTATACCACAAACCAAAAAAGGGGTATCAAGTGGACCAATAAAACCCTCACATCATTTAATAGCAGAGGCCATTCAAGGGAAAAAGGCATCCTTCAAAAAATTGAAGGTGTGCCTAAATGAGGAAAATAGGAAAGCTCACAAACTCTGGCAGATCAAGTGGAAAAAGTGAAAGAATGCAGGCCAGAAAAGAATGTAAGGAGTGTCTAGCAAAAGATACTAAAATTAATAATAAAAACTTTTAAAAATATTTCACAAGCAGGAAGTGAGCTAGGGGATCAGTGGAACTGTTGGATGACCAAGGTGTAAAAGGTGCACTTGGGGCCCTAGCATCAAAGGCCCTAGCAGAGAAGCTAAACAAATTATTTGCATTAGTTTTTACAGCAGAAGACACTGGGCAAGTTCCTATGCCAGATCAATTCTTTCTCTTAACCAGAGAAGATTTTAAAGCACTGCCAGAAAATTAAGGATCTTCTCCATCCACTCCTCTCAGTACCTCCAACCTCCCATCCTATACGGACATTTAAGGAACAAGATGCTTCCTGGTTTGATGAATGTGTAGAGCAGAAAAGACCATTAAATAGGAAAGTCAGGGAATTAAGGAAAACTGGGTACACTGGAATAACGTTTTGGAGTGATATTCGAAAGTTATGGAAAGCATATAACCTACTTCTCTAGAATAAGAAAAAAGAATATTATAATCAGCAGTGGGATAAATTGAGGCCAGCAATCATTGCTAAAGATAGTAAAACCTTCTGGCTACTTGTATCAAAGGGAACAGCTAATTTTAATTATAAATTGAAAATAATATTACTGCAGACAGCTGGGTAGAATATTTTTCCAATCAGTGTACTTCTTATATGGAACAAATAAATAGAAATCTAGGGGGTAATAAACCCCCCACTAATACAATTAAGTATCAGGTAACAAAGAATCAAATAGCACATCTCCTCAAATCACAACAGAAGAATAGAGCCCCAGGTCTAGATAGAATACCGGTGGAAGTTTACATTGATAACATCAAATGGAAGACTCCGATTTTGGAAAAATGGTATAACTCTATAATTGAGCTGAGCCAAATCCCAGTGTCCCAGAGCACAACCACGGGGGAGCTGGAGACCCTCCCCTTGGGGGACCCCGGGATGGGGGCTACACAACTCATGGGAAACCCCCCCGCAAAAAGAAACTACTTACTGGCCACAGGACACCAGACACCAAAAGAACAAAGAGTGAAGCTCCACATACAAGCTGGGGAGCTCCCCGCTTGTGAGCACAGAGGCGGAAAGGGATCTTGGCGTCATTATTGACTCCAAGATGAACATGAGCCGCCAATGCCAGACCGCAGCCAGCAAAGCCAATCGCACCTTGTCGTGCATCCAAAGATGCATCTCAAGCTGGTCTAGAGAGGTGATACTCCCCCTCTACGTGACATTGGTCCGGCCTCAATTGGAGTACTGCATCCAGTTCTGGGCACCACACTTTAAGAAGGATGTGGCCTGCCTTGAGAGGGTTCAGAGGAGGGCCACCTGCTTGGTTGGAGGGCAACAGGGCAGGCCCTATGAGGAGAGGCTGAGGGACCTGAACCTGTTCAGCCTCAGCAAGTGGAGGCTGAGGGGGGACCTGGTGGCTGCCTACAAACTCGTTAGGGGAGATCAGCAGCAAAAAGGAAGGGCCCTATTCCCCCCAGCAGCACTTGGAGTGACAAGGAACAATAGCTAGAAGCTGCTGGAGAATAGATTCAGGTTCGAGATTAGAAGGCACTATTTCACTGTCAGGGTAGCTAGGATCTGGAACCAACTTCCTAGGGAAGTGGTCCTCGCTCCTACCTTGGGTAAATTCAAAAAGAGGTTGGACGAACACCTGTCTGGGGTCGTGTGATCCCAGCGTGTGCTCCGGCCTGTGGTGGGGGGTCAGACTAGATGATCTATTTAGGTCCCTTCTGACCCCTAACTACTATGAAACTATGAAAGACCCTCCCCTTAGGGGACCCCAGGATGGGAGCTACGCAACTTGTGGGAACCCAACCCCCCCCCCCCCCCCCCCCCAAAAAAAAAAAAAAAAAAAAAAAATAAAAAACTACTTACCAGCCACAGGACACCAGACACCAAAAGAACAAACAGTGAAGCCCGCGCGGTTCACGAGCTATGCCTATATACAGCTGGAGACGGTGGGTGACGTGAGGACCAATCACCGGCCGGCGAAGATAAAAGGGAGCGCCAGAACAGCAACGGGGAGAGCGGGAGAGGCAGCAGAGGCTGTGAAGGCTCTCCACGCCGGTTACAGACATCACACAAAGGAAAGAATCCAGACCAGAGAGCAGCAGTGGAGGCTGTGGAGGCTCTCTGCATCAGCAGCAAACAGCCTCGGTACAAGGGGACGGATTGCACTTGGGGAGAGGTACCCCGAGTGGCAGAGAATAAACCCCGTGCCGGTCACGAGCAGCACCTGCGTCCAGGGGACAACCACGCTCCCGAAGGAGCCATAGCAGACCCAGAGGCAATGGAGGCTTCCTACTCCAGGTTCTCATAGGTACCAAGCCATGGAGGGAGGCTGAACTGGGGAAAGGCAGAAGATACCCCAACAAGAGTGCAGAGTGGAGCAGCACCGGGGGGCGCCACCTGGTTCAGGCTCTAGGGCGGAAGGAGGGAAGCAGTAGTGGATCCTGATCTCATTCCATTCTGTCCGCCCTCTTATCCTTTTCTTTAAAAATCCTTTTTTCTCCTCAGCTACTACTGGGCTGTATGTGGTCTTCCATGTGGCGGTTGTGGTCTGGTTTTTTTTTAGTCTTTGGGTGCCTCAGTGGTTAGGTCTGCCTTGAGGGGGAGCTGGCTGACACCATTCCACCTGGGTGATCAGGAGGCTCAGCAAGTAGCCATTGACGATGGGGAAGATAGACAAGACAAGCTTATCCAGTAGGCCTACAGCCTATCAAAGAAATGAAGTTAATAACCAATCCTGAAGACGGCGTGAAGATCACAGGTCATCTAAACCAGAGAGACAGCCGCATTAGCATCAAGTGGCCCGCCGGAGGTTAGTGTGAGGAAGGGGTGTAGGGGAGGTGGAGCCCTGCAAATATCCGCCAGGAGGAGTGATCAACCCCGAGGGACCTACAGAGGAAGACCCCTCCACTGGAAATACATTCAAAGTCATGGCAGGTGAGTTTAGGGGCTTTCTCCAGGGTGATTGAGATCCCTCTCAGTGGCCACATGAACCCTCACTGAGCCCACCACCAGGGCAGCGCATGCATGGGTATTCGAAGCGAGGTAGGCACACCCAGATTCCTGGAAAGGAAGTAGTATTGTACCGATTTTCAAGAAAGGTTTAAAAGATAAGCCAGAATCTTATTGCCCTATAAGTTTGATAGACGTTTCAGCTAAAATTTTTGGGCACCACTTGATATATCGTCTCAAAGCATGGGTACAAGGGGAAAACATATTATATGAACATCAGACTGGATTTAGGGACGGATTGATAACATATTTATTCTTCAATTTTTGAGACATAAGTACATGCAAATGCGCAAATCAGCACTATATCTTGCATTTGTAGACTTGTTGAGAGCTTTTGACAGGATAGAATAGATAGAAGCAAACTTTGGGAGAAATTGATAAATTATGGGATTAACCCTTACCTTTTGTACTTGTTGATAAAATATTATAAAGATCCATGGGCCCAAGTTAGGTGGGGCTTGAAGGGTGAACTTACACAAAACATTCACATACAAAAAGGGGTTAGACAAGGATGTATTTTGGCCCCTTTATTATTTAATCTTTACATTAATTACATTATTGGAAATATGCAGGATGAGCATTTCCATCCCCCAAAACTATTAGCAACCCTGATTCCTATTTTAATGTATGCAGATGACACTATTATACTGTCAAGAACTCCTATTGGATTACAGAGAGCAATTACAACTTTTGAGTATCTTTGTGGACAAAATAACTTAAAGATAAATTATGAAATTATTAAATTATGATAACAACAATAATAAATTATGAAATATTAAATAAAATATGAAATAAATTGTGAAATTATGAAAAATTATGCTGAGGGGAAACCAGCACGGGTTCATAGCAGGAAGATCATGCCTGACTAATCTAGTCTCTTTTTATGACCAGGTTACAAAACACCTGGATGCAGGAGTAGGGGTTGATGTCATTTACTTAGACTTCAGGAAGGCCTTTGATACGGTATCCCACACCATACTGGTGAACAAGTTAAGAGGCTGTGACCTGGATGACTACACAGTCCAGTGGGTGGCGAATTGGCTAGAGGGTCGTACCCAGAGAGTTGTAGTGGATGGGTCGGTATCAACCTGGAAGGGTGTGGGCAGTGGGGTCCCGCAGGGCTCGGTCCTTGGACCGATACTCTTCAAGACTTGGATGAGGGAGTGAAGTGTACTCTGTCCAAGTTTGCGGATGACACAAAACTGTGGGGAGAAGTGGACACGCCGGAGGGCAGGGAGCAACTACAAGCAGACCTGGACAGGTTGGACCTATGGGCGGAAAACAACAGAATGCAATTCAACAAGGAGAAATGCCAAGTGCTGCACCTAGGGAGGAAAAATGTTCAGCATACCTACTGCCTAGGAAATGACCTGCTTGGTGGCACAGAAGCAGAAAAAGATCTTCGAGTCCTAGTAGACTCCAAGATGAACATGAGTCGGCAGTGTGACGAAGTCATCAGAATAGCTAATGGCACTTTATCGTGCATCAGCAGATGCATGACGAACAGATCCAAGGAGGTGATACTTCCCCTCTATCGGGTGCTGGTCAGACCGCAGTTGGAATACTGCATCCAGTTTTGGGCGCCGCACTTCAAGAGGGATGTGGATAACCTGGAGAGGGTCCAGAGAAGGGCCACTCGTATGGTTAAGGGCTTGCAGGCCAAGCCCTATGAGGAGAGACTAGGGCACCTGGACCTCTTCAGCCTCCGCAAGAGAAGGTTGAGAGGTGACCTTGTGGCTGCCTATAAGTTCATCATGGGGGCACAGAAGGGAATTGGTGAGGTTTTACTCACCAAGGCGCCCCTGGGGGTTACAAGAAATAATGGCCATAAGCTAGCAGAGAGCAGATTTAGATTGGACATTAGGAAGAACTTCTTCACAGAGTGGCCAAGGTCTGGAATGGGCTCCCAAGGGAGGTGGTGCTCTCCCCTACCCTTGGGGTCTTCAAGAGGAGGTTAGATAGGCATCTAGCTGGGGTCATCTAAACCCAGCACTCTTTGCTGCCTATGCAGGGGGTCGGACTCGATGATCTATTGAGGTCCCTTCCGACCCTAACATCTATGAATCTATGATAAATCCAAAATAATGTATTGGGGAAGTTGTTTGATGAAATATCCATGGAATATGGGGGGAGCCAAACTTGAAGTTGTCAAAACTTATACATATTTGAGTGTCTTATTCACAGTTTCTCCATCATGGAAACATCATATTCAGTCAGTTAAAACTAAGGCAGTCCAATTGGCTGTGGCTATAAAGAAATGTTATGAAACCACAGCAGGATGATCAGTCCAAGCTCCTATATCAGTATACAAAGCCAAAGTTCCCTCTCAGATCTTATACGGCACTGAAGTATGGGGTTATGCCGGTAGTAATGATGTGGACACACCTCAGAACAAGTTTCTTAGGGCTCTTCTGGCTCTTCCTCCCTCAACTCCTGCATCTTCTCTGAGATTAGAGATGGGAATGGATTCTATTTTAACTAATATTATTATTAGAATGGCAGGATTTTGGTTTAAAATCCTGTCCCTTTTATCATCTTGCCTGCTTAAATTTTGCTACATAAAAGATATTAATAATCCCCCTCCTCTCCAATCACCCTGGTTATAGCTTTTCTTTCCCACACTTTTGCACATTGCCTGACAAAGTAGATTGATGAAGTGAAGTTCATAGGCTCCTCTGTGAAAGGTTTTCAAATCAATCTACTGGATACAAAAAAATCATGGACTAAATATAGACATTGGATATGACACATAATGACCCGCCTAACATCTGACTCCCCAGGTAAACCCTCCACTTTTTACCAGCTAGTCTCATCCTGCCCCCCCAACCACTGATTACAGCTACATTCATTTCCCCTCTCCCCAACTGTCTCTCACCTACTGATCATCTCAATTTACATTTTGATTGACTGGCTTTCTTGCATACATACTGGCCTCTGGCTGCTTTACTACTCCATCCAGGAAGAGCACAGACCATCTGCAGACACTTCCTCATCCTGACAAAGGGGATTTGTACCCGAAAGCTTGCAAAGAAGAATTTTTCCAACTATTTGAGTTTGTCTAATAAAAGATATCAGATTTAACCAAAGAACCTTGTCTGCCATGTCCTTAGGCCAACATGGCTACAACCTATACTCTTGAAGGTGTTAACAAGGATGTGGACAAGAGGGATCCAGCTTACATAATATATTTGGACTTTCAAAAAGCATTTGACATGGTCCTTTATCAAATGATTTTTAAAGAACTGTCTTACCACAGATTGGAGGGAAGGGTATTTTGTGAACTGAGAGCTGATTAAAAGATAGGAAGTAAATGGTAGGGCTAAATTGTCACTTTTTAGGATGTGGGGAGTTCAAATTGGGGTCCTGCAGGGATCATTGCTGGGCCCTATTTTGTTCAATATTTTCATTAACGACCTGGAAATGGGGGTACACAGTGAAATCTCTAAATTTGCAGATGTTCCCAAATTATTCAGGGTAGTCAAGTCCAAAGCTGATAGAGAGGAGCTGCAGAAAGTACTCACCAAGCTAAGTGAGCGGGAGAAAAAAGGAAGATGAACTTTAATGTTGACAAGTGCAAGGTAATGCATCCAGGGAAAAATAACCTCAACTACATGTACACAATGCAGGGGTCTGAAGTAGGTGTTACAACGCAAGGAAAGAGACCTTGGAGTCATTGTAGATAGTTGTCTAAAAACATCAGCTCAATGTGCAGTGACAACCAAAAATTCCAATTCAAAGTTGGGCATCATTAAGAAAGGAACTAAAAACAAAATGGAGGACATCATCATGCCACTATACAAATCCATGGTACACCTCATCTTGAAAACTGTGTGTAGTTCTAGTCCCCACATCTCAAAAAAGATGTATTAGGATTAGAAGGGTACAGAGAAGGGCAAGCAAAATGACCAGGGATACGGAGTGGTTGCCATATCAGGAGAGACTGAAAAGGCTAGGACTCTTCAGTTTGGAAAAGACAAGGCTGAGGGGGATATGATAGAGGTCCATAAAATCATGAAGGGTGTGGATCAAGTGAACAGGTAACTGTTATTCCGCAAGCCCAGAATACTAGAACTAGGGACCACCCAGTGAAATGAGTGGGTGACAGGTTTAAGACTAACAAGAGAAAGTATTTTTATGCAACATGTAGTTAACAAAAAGGGACTGGATAAATTAATGAATGATGGATTTATTGATGGCTACTGAACAGAATGACTGGAGAAGTTCCCTCTGGCATCTCTAAAACAATAATGGTGGATACCAGGAGGATATTGAAAAGAGGATAGGTTACTCTAGAGATATCTGGTTCAATGCTCTCCCTCTATAGTATCCATTTCTGCCACTGTTAGGAGAGAGAATACTGGGCTAGATGGACCATTGGTCTGACCTACTTATGTTCTTATGTAAGTGCCAAGCCTTATGTAGCTACATTGTGACATGCAAACAGCATTTCAGTGTGGCCCTTTGACCCATGTAAATTCTTGTTGCTTTGGAGGAAAATGCTGGCAGATTAATTTAATTTTATAAAGTTTAGCATAGCATTTGTGTTTCTGGCAAGCTGGCAATACATTGCAAGGGTATGCAAAAGTATGAGCACTCCACTCACCAAAGTTTTCCATTTTCCTGAATGGATGCATTTCAGGCTCCTAGGCTGTGACTGGTAACTTGAACTTTTAGTTGGAGGTGGGAGAGATTCCCTGTGTAATGACAGTAAAAAAAAATATTTATTTTTAAAAAGTGTAACATCCAAAAATTGTTTTGAATGAAATTTGGCAAAAAAAAGGAAATTCTATCACTAATTTTGTAATTCTAGGATCCCTAACACTACAGAAATTGCTGGCTTAGTGATTTGTCACAGTAGGAAGGGGTGATTGATCACAATATAAGAAGACAGATTCCTGTGAGAAGATTGCTTACTTATCATGCCTGTAAACGATTATATCTTTCTTATGTCAAATCTCCCGCTTACTGCTACTAGTGAGATTCAGCATTTACAATGCTTTATTACTTCAAAGCTCCATACAAACATTCACTAATCAAACCTCAACATCCAGCTGAAGTACTCTAGTTTAGTGGTTCCCATCTTTTAGACAGTAGCTGTGAAATACAATATTGTCAATTAGATCCACATCACTTGATAGAGAAGTAAGTTAAATGAACTCAAGTTCCATGTTGATGAAACACCTATCTTCCAGAGCTGAAGTCCTGTTGCTTTTGGGCTGTGGCAGATTTGTAATTTCATAGTTTCATAGTAGCTAGGGTCAGGAGGGACCTGAACAGATCATCTAGCCTGACCCTCTGCCACAGGCAGGAAGGAATGCTGGGTTCACAAGACCCCAGACAGGTGATCATCCAACCTTCCCTTGAATATGCCCAAGGTAGGGGCGAGGACCACTTCCCTGGGAAATTGGTTCCAGATTTTGGCCACCCTAGCTGTAAAATATTGCCTTCTGATCTCCAACCTAAACCTATTCTCCATCAGCTTATTTAATTGAGCAGTTTCTATTTTCTCCCCTTTCACTTTTTGTCACCTCTCTTGACAGAGTTTTCTGAGTTAGACTTGTCGGCTGTGTCCACACAAGCATGGACATTTGTTTCCCCAGGGACAAGAAGCAGTGGCACACCTTGTGCCACTGCTATTTGTGAGCCATGCACCCTCTGGCATGTGGTAGGTTACCCTGGGTGGGGTAACGGGGGCTGTGGCCAGCACTAGGCTAGCCCCAGCAACCTTATCTGGGGTCCTGGGGGTATCCTGGTGCTGCAGCAGTGGGAATCCTGCTGCTTGGAGCCTAGCCAGCAGACGGAGCATGGCTCCAGATGGCCAGGCTCCAGTTTTGGGTGTTGCGTGCTGCCCCTGTGTGCATTGCTCCGCTTTTTTTTTTGCATGGGTTTTTTTTACCCTGGGATCTCTGGCTGGATGCGGCTGTGGAGGTTATAATCTGGATAATGGTACCTGTAGATGAACTGTTTTTGTAAAGGATGTAAATATGGCTCCATGCATATCTTATAGGGAATTAGGGTTGACACCTACTTCGTCCTATGGTACCATATGCTGGACAATACACTGAATTTGCAGTGTTATTTTGTCACACACTGGCACAATTTACCATGTCACTTGGTCCTCTAATATGGAGGTCATCTTTGCAGGCTTGTTGCAATCTCAGGGTTCTCAGATCCAAACCACGGCTACTTTTTGCTGATTCTTTCTGCCAAACATCTCTAAGAAAGGACCCTTCCAACTCATGTGCACAGCTAAAACTATGCTTTCCTATTTCACATCTCAGTTAGTGCACATTCTTTTCTCTAGCTTGACAAAAGCAACTGTACCTGTAGCAACTGTAAAGAAGCTTGCAAAGATAATTTTCCTCTTGTCACTTTGACCATGTCCTCTATCTTTGCATCCCTCCTCTGGCTCTCACTTCATTATCACAACAGACATCAGCTACTTGTCCTCACTTTCAAAGCCTTCAAAAGTATATCCCATCTTTTCTATCATCACTTCCTCCTTCAAAACTCTTCTTTGCCATGATGCTAAACCCTTAGCAATGGCTTGAAGTCACGAGGGTGCTGACACTTAGGGTGGCCATCATAGAGGACGTTCTGGTTTTCTGCTACTTTGTCCTCTATTGATACAAAACCTGATGCCTTTATGTCCTCTATTTTTCTCTTCAAGAGAAGAGAGAAAATAGAGGACATAAAGGTGTCGGGTTTCATATCAATAGAGGACAGAAAATAACTGGACTGTCCTCTATGATGGCCACCCTACTGACACTATTGCTTATCATGCCAACCAATGTTGTCTCATTGTTTCCTTATATTCCTCCCTCTGCCTCTTTATATAACCATTGTCTCTGTCTTTGAACATGAGCCTTTTCGGGGCAGGGATCTTCTTATTGTTTTGTGTTTGTACAGAGCCTATTCCTATGAGGTTCTGGTCCATGACCAGGGTTTCTATGCACTAGGGTAATACAAATAAATAATAATGAATTTCAGGACAACAAGAGAATGAGGCTAGTTAACAAGGAAATCAGTAACGTTTGTACATAATTTCCTGTCAGAGCTGAGCCTAATAGGCTTAGATGAAGAGAAATCTGGCTGGTTTTTAAGCTTTCAGACTGGCTAAGCAAAGTGTGGGTGTCTCATAAAAAAGCTGCTGAGACTCTCCTGTGAGCCAGTTTTAAGTGCCAACTCAACATTTTAAAACATTTAAAACAATAGGATCCTACCAGGTTATCCTTGTTGTCCAGCTGACCCATGTTTGTGGAACACCTTAAACTAGTATCAGTGCTTTCACCTGTCAGTTCTCAAAGGGAAAAGCAGCTCTTCATTCTGGCAGAGGTTTCAGCAATTGATACTGGGGAGAGAGGTGCTGAACAAATAATTGATACTTAGTGGTCTGTGCTGTTACATTTCTACTCTTACAATGGAAAGATCTACTGTAGCAGGTTGCTGTAGCTGCCTGCATGCTTGCAGGGGCTGCAGGCCAGCTGCAGGTGGTAAGCAACTGATTGCAGGCCTGCCTTGGAGGACTTGGCCAGCTGAGGAAGATAATTGGCTGGCCAGAGGAAGTTAAAGCTCTTAGGGAAGAAAGCTGGGGGAACTTGCTAGGGAGAGAACAGAAAAGCGAGAGTGACTAGGCTACAACACTGAGCTGGGGTACTCTCTTGAGGTCTTGAAAAAGACCTCAGCAGAGAGAGAGAAGACTCTGAGGCTAGAAGCTGCAGCACAGAGCCAGAGTGGTCCTCTTGGAGCCTGGGAAAAGACCACAGGGTGAATGAGGGGGCTGTGAGACTAGAAACAACAGTGAGCCAGAGAACCCCCTCAGGGTCTAGGTCAGTGGTTCCCAAACTGTGGATTGTGACCCCAAATGGGTCACAACATCCATGGTTGGGGTCATGAGGTTTCTGCACCTGCAGCAGGCTGGGGGGCTGCAATGGGGCTGGACCAGTTCCAGACAGGGACTGCCTCTGCAGTCCAATGGGTGGAACCCAGCACAGAAGGGAGTGCCATACCATCATGGCTACCAACGTGAGGTGCAGCAGCAGTGCAGACTTGTGCCCTCTCTGCAGCTGGGTGGGCAGGATGCACCTCAGCTTGGTTGTCATGGTAGCATGGTGCTCCCTCCCATGCCAGATCCTGCTTGCCTGATGGGAGGTGGGGTCCCTGCGGGGGTGGGAAGGAGGAATGCAACAGGGCAGGGAGCCCTGAGCCTGCAACAGTCAGTCTGCATTCTTTTCCCCCTCTTCCCTCCATGGGCTCTACTCTGGTTGTGCCACCCACAAAAGAAGGGGCAGAGGGAGGAGGGGTGGAAGCCTGTCACCACTTTCTGCTCTGACAAAAGCAGCTGCTGCCTCCTTGCAGGTGGCAGATGGGGCTTAGGCACTGGTGGGGGATGGCAGGGCATTGCGGGCCCTATCTCTGGGGCATTGAGGAGGAATGGGGGGCTGTGGGTTGGGAGTGAGGGGTCATGCTGAGGAAAAGCTTGGGAAGCACATGTGCAGCCCTATTAGTCCGCAGGAAATGAATAAACTCTGCAGCAGGTTAGTATTTGTAAATACAAGTACTATTCTGCTGAGGAAGGGTTGTTTGTTTGCTTGTTTGTTTTTGTCCAGCAGTGTACATGTAGACGCTGACTGGGTTGGCTGGGGCACAAGAGTACTTCAGTGCCTGCCAGGTCCACACTGAAATGCATTTGTGTCCCAGCCAGTCCCTCTGCAACATGTTGAGCTGAGTCAGAGCAGTTCCAGGCGGGCAGGCTGACCCCCAAGGACCCTTGCCAGCCTGGGGCTCCTCTGACCCGGCTCAACATGCTGAAGGCCCAGGCGCACATGTAAACGCAGTGCCCAGAAGCAATAAACTCCAGCATGATAGGAGCCAGAGTTTATTGCTTTGCATTAATATGCAAATGTAGACCCACCCATCATGGAGACTTGGGTAGCTTTAGCAGCCTGGATAATGTGCTTAGGTTATTGCAGAACTAGTGTTAAGTTATTGGCAATCCACACAGGTCAATAACACAACAGACAGGAAAACATTAATTTTTCAGAGGCATCGCTGGCTATGTGCATGGAGTATATTTATTTCTGACAAAGGCAGGCTATGAGATGGACCGTAGTTCGGTAGGGCTCTGTACCCATGCTCTCGTACATAGTAGAATGTAAACACAGAGAACATAAACATAAGACTCACAGGGAGTCCTTGGCTAACAAGTCCAGTCCCCTGCATTTACAAACAAACACTTGCCAAAAGAATCCCCAAACCATCACTTAAGCTGTCACACACAACTACAAGGCACAATACTCAAAACACAAAGGGCATCCTATAATATGCCATAGGGTCAGAGGAGGGAAGATAAAAGCACTGCCAATCCTCTGCCACAACAATGATAGAGAAATTCCTGGTTGGTTGCTCAGAAGACCCTTAAAAAAGAACCATGCCTCATGTTGCAGAGGAAGGAAAAACACCCAGAGCCTGTGCCAATGGCTGTGGCAGGAAAATTCCTGCCTGTCCCCAGACTTATTGATTAGTATGACCCTAACTGGAAGAACAAGACCTTATAACCAGAAATCTGTGGGTTTTCTAGGTACTGGCAGGAACAAGTGTACCCCACTCAACACCCCCCACCCCATGTGCGCACACACACCCACAGCCTTAGCTGTGGGTCAGTGGCACACAGCTTCAGCAAGAAGAGGCAACA